GTGTAACAATTTTATTAAAACAGAGTAAATTGGTCGTATCTAAAAATTTCGGCCGATTTTATTTTCAATTTTATCCAAAACGGACTTTTTTTTATACAAATTTGTCCCTATACCAAGTAAGATTCTTTCTTTATTTAGAGTTTTCATACAATTTACGTAAAGATTATTTATTCGGGCGTAGATAGCAAATAAATAAAAGAAAACCAATTCCGAATTTCAACAATAGTTTTATTAAAACCCCTAGTTTCGCAACTTGGTATCATTTACTTTTTGCGGCATAAACCTGTTGATTAAACAACCTTTTTTTTGTAAAACAACAAATGTTCCCATGCTCAAACAACACATCTATTATAATAAAGTTGGGTGGTATTTTATAAATAAATTTAATGTGATATTTATCGAATTACATCGTTGGTAAAAAAAAAAAAAAAAAAAAAAAAAAAAAAAAATAGAGGCATTTTTTTTTTTTTTAACACATTGCATAAAACTGGTCACCGTTATTATTAAGTTTGAGTTGAAAAAATGAATAAAAGGCATTTGCATTCTTTTATTTTCGAAAATTTGTTATACAAGTCATGCTCTTGAAACGTTTAGCATTGGTAGTTTTAATTATTTATAGAATTGGAATCGAACTATATGAACATGCACTATGCTCATACGCGTTATTTTAAAATTTGATTTTATACTATATTTCGAAATCCCGAATTAACGTGATAATTTATCTTCTCAAATTTAATTTTAGATAATTATGAAGGTCTTCCATTATTAACATATTGAAATACCATCATATATTTTTTTGTTTCCGTGTTTTTAGTTAGTTCATATACTGCTGCTACTTAATCTACAATATATATGTCTTCTAAGCTAATAAATAAAATTTAAGTAATTAGAGATAATTAATTACACGCTACAGATTAAAGGATAAAATAGTAAATTTATAGATTTAACCTACTAATTTTAGAATAAAATAGTAAATTTATAGATTTAACCTACTACTTTTAGAATAATTGGAATTTTTTTTTTTGTCAATTAGCTAAAAATATTGTACCAAATCCTCCTTTACAAATCTTTTTTTATGTCGTTTAATTTGTCGTAATGATCATTTCTTTTAGAAACGAACTAATCATTATTAATTGTGCTTCCGAATACCCAATTACTCAAGATATAACTGATATATTTGTTGTCAATTTGCTAAAATTTACCTAAATACCTAGCAAAAATTAATTTATTTAGGTTGACAATTTAAGACCAATTGACATCCGGACAAATTGACATTTGGGTACGACATATTCACCAGTAACTTTAAATTGTGTTATTAAGTATAATATATTTAAATTATATTATTTTTTAATTAAATTTGATTTTTACAAATATGAAAAAATTAATATTACATATCGATATCAATCGAAATAACTATAACTTAAAAAACCATGAGAGCAATGCAATGTTTGAAGTGTAATTTTACATGATACGTAGCGTGCGTGATATATCTATCATCTGAAATTATTAGTTTGCTAGCTAACTAAGTTGTTAAGAATTTATCACTATTTTTTTTTTGAATATATTAAAAGGAATCCACTTTATTATATTTCTATATTTTGTAACCTTAAGCTGAAATTCTTTAATGCAATCAACAATTTTCTTATTTCTGCTTGCTCATCCTTAAATTATTATTAGAGGATTACATGTTTTACACCAAAGCTGGCAATGTGTTGTATCAATAACCTATGTCAGAGGTTGTTACCTCTGATTCAGGTTGCAACTTATGTTCGATATTATTACTATGTATAGCTTATTATGATTTTTACGATGTGTTAATTTATTAAATTAAATAAATTTTCATTATGATGAGATTTTGCGATATACAGTATATAAATTTGTATGTATCGCATCATATAACACATTTATATATCGCACTTCATAAGAACAAGTGTAACGTGAAATCAAAAACAATAAAAAACAAAACGTTTTACTTAACAATAAATAGTTAATATCAAAATTTCGCGAGGAATTTTTTTTTTTTTTTTATTAGAACACTTCTTATCGCTATGAGATATTTGTATTTTTTTTACGTTACACCTGATCTTTAAATTTGATTGGTTGGGCGACAAATAAGAATATCGCACTGTGCGATATATAGATAACTCCTAATAGCATTACTTATACAATTTTTACTGCATTCCGTTAAGAGTTACAGCTTAGTAACGTTATTTCCATCTCGTATTTCATTTAATCTTCAAATAATTTTACAATATCCAGTGAGTATATAAATGTTTTACAATAAGTAGAATTAAAAACTACTGTCACGGGGTAAAAGTGACATTTCCAAAAAACGTGACGAAGCTAATGAAACTGCGCCTCCAGAAACAGAATTAGATCGTCATAGGCCTAGAAGGCTTTAAAGGGTCGTTGGTGAAACAATCTATGGATGCCGATCCAAGAATTTCTGAAAAGCGATAATCAATTGCCAAAGCCTTTAGGATAGCAAAGCCCCCCTCCGTTGCATATAAGAAATTAAAACTATTTAAAGGACGTTACAACATTAGAGGTTAGTAACGACTCTTATGTGGGCACATAAGGTTTATCATAATTATAGAACTTTCCCCAAATCACCAACGTCACGCCTCTGGCGAGGAACTTAAAGAAACCATATGAATTACCCGTAACATTTGGTGGTAACTTACCAAATTACTCGTAACAATTGGTGGTGACTATACGAATTTATCCCGTCACACTACAAATCTAAAAATAAATACTTATTACTATTCTCTAATAACTTTCAAATAATTTAAATCAAATTTCAAGATAATAAAAGAAATGTAAAAAAAATAAAACCAACATAGAATCGTTCATAATTCTAAATTTAATCAAAGAAACTATCATCTGCGCACAAATAAAAATATTTTCTTATAAAACTTTAGTATAAATAACATCCTCCGAAAAAATTTTACTTTAAAAAAATTGTTTTTTTTTAATAATATAAATACCTCTGTTAAATAGATAATTAGTGCAGTCAATTAGAAGTGGTGAGTAAATTGTAATTATTTATTCGAATATTTATCATAATATATCGATATATAGGAGGAGGTCAGTAGAAAAGGGATAAATTTTTTTAAGTAAATATTTTTTTAAGTTTTACTAAAGTAAATCTTATAAAAATATTAGTAAGTTATAGATTTAAAATAAAAAATTATTTTATTAATTTGATAAGATAGTTGTTAAGATATTTTAAATAAAAAATTTTATTAAAAATGATTTGTTTTTCTACTCCATATGATATCTAAAGAGGAATTGCGTACAAATTATATATATAGATATTTAACGAGGATGTGATAATTATATAAGTTTTTTAATTTAATTTATAAATTAAATTGTTAGGCGTAAGTATAAAAACAAATTTGTGATTATTATCTGTAAATAAACTAATTAATCGTACGTACGAAGAAATAGTATAAATTAATAATTTATAATAAAAAAGTTTATTCTTCAACCTTTTCAAATTGATTATATATTATTACTTTGTATCTACTTTAAATTAAATATTTTATTGTATTTATCGTTCCTGGTTTTGCGTAACTATGTTGCACAGTTATCTTATACGTATCGAATAAGTAGAACAAAGCCCAATTTGCACAACGTTCAAGTAGAAGTAAGCCCAATTCTTTGATCGAATAAGAACAAATCGAATTAGAGATTTCCCGACTGGAGGTAACAAACGTTTGTGTTTTAATAATTTAGATTATAATTGGATCATAACCTGGGTTGAAAGTGCTTAGATCAGGTTTGAGCCAGTTTGATATTTCTCGACCCGAGTAACAGTTATATTTTAGTCATCAAAGAGCCTAAAAGTATGCTTCAATTAACTGTTACACCAAATCTTTACATTACAAGCAGCCAATAAAAACATTGTGATGCATTGGTGATTGATTTAACAGTTCCAATTAATCTTTATTAGAAACTTGTTATAGGCGAATTAGGGTGAAAACGCGAAAAATAGCGTAATAGTGGCTAATAATAATAAAATTAAAATTAAGTTATTTGTCACATATGTGATATCACTTTTTGTGGCGCGAACAAATCAGATTTCAAGATCAGGTTTAACGTAGCACGATCATAAAAATTCAAAACAAACGTTCATTTTGCCAAAAAATCGCCTATAACTCAAAAATCTGCATAGGAAACCACCTTTGGTACTCTAACAAAAAGTTTTCTTTGTGAGATTTTACTAATAATCTTGCTAACAACTGACCTTGACCCTAACTTTAACGAACTTTTAAAATTTTATCATTTTTATGATTTCTTATAGGTGACTTTACTCTAAAATTATAATTTATACTATACAATTACCGTATTATGTATAAATTCTTACTTCCGAATATATTATCCATAATTTGAATGCAAAAAACTATGAATTTAGAAAAATATATTAGAAAAAGTATACAAAAATAGCAAAATACAATACAGAGAATTTTGGCTGAATTTGGGACTTGTTTCATCGTCCCAGATCTGGTATCAATTAAAGAATAACCGGTTTTATATTATCTGTTATTGATAAAATTTATTTTAAAATAAAATATACAGTATAACACTTATTCATTAATATATGATTGGATAAAAAAAACTACCTAGCATTTTGTGTTCGATCAAATTTGTTTTTCTGTAAAAAAAAAAGGAAAAACAAAAAATCATACGATCCGATATTTACCATTCAAATTTTACCTGCATATTTTTTTTAATGGCGTAATTTTATTTGAGAAGGCAATGTGGGATGATTATTTATAATAGTTAACTAACACGTGGTAATCTAAATAGATTGTTCGAAAAAAAAAAAAAAAAAAGATATGAAAAATTTTGAATGGGTCTATAGGTTAATTTTTCTAATTTTTTTTTTTATTGTTGATTATCTTATCGCCTTGCATTCTTTTGTCTTTGTCTCTCTTTTTCGCGTTTCGCGTTTAATATAAAATTAAAAATTTTTTATCTCATAAATTAAAGACACAATGCCTTCTATGAATAAGAATAAATTCAAAACTTATGATTATAGACATCCTCTTTATATCGGTGGTTGGAAAAAAAATGTCGCGTATATAGATAAAGACTTTGTCAAAGACAATTTAGACGAACCTCATATGAAGAGAAACATAACAATTTTAAGCCAATATCCAGAAATTGAAATTTTATATGGATATGATAGTATTACCGTAGTAATTGCCATTGTCGGAACAATAATTCAAGTAATAATAGCATATGTATTTGGTCGCTTGCTAGTCGACTGGAATTTGACAATGTTCATTGTTTCATATATCTTTGGAGGGTCTATGACACAGATTTATAGTATAATAATTCATGAAACTACACATAATCTCGCGGCAAAAACAGAATTTCAGAATCGTCTCGTGGGTCTTATCGCAAATATAGCAGTACCAATACCTATAGCCATGTCTTTTCGTCGACACCATTTAGAACATCACGCTTTTCAAGGGGTAGAAGATAAAGACCCTGACTTACCTTCGGAATGGGAAAGAAAGTTTATCGGTTGTACCACCATATTTAAGTTACTATGGCTATTATTTTATCCTATAATATATCCTATTCGTAACATATCTAAAAATCTAAAAAAATGGGAATATATAAACATTTTTTTTACACTTTTAATAGATATTAACATATATTATTATTGTGGTTATAAAGGATTATTTTATTTATTTATGTCATTATGGTTCGGTTTTAGCATTCACCCGGTAGCAGCTCGTTTTATCCAGGAGCATTATACGTTTGATGATGGTCAAGAAACTTATTCCTATTATGGAAGCTTTAATAAAATATTTATGAATATTGGATATCATACCGAACATCATGATTTTACAAAGGTTTGATTTCGAAACTTTATTATTATTTATCTTAAATTACAAAATTTTTCATTAATTTAGTGCATATTTTATCTAAATTAATCTATAAATTTCATTTTATGTACATCTTATATTTATAAATTTTTTGTCATCTTTTAGATACCATGGACAAGACTTCCTATAGTTCACAAAATTGCAACTGAATATTACGATAACCTTGCTTATCACACGTCATGGTTTATGGTAAACTGGAATTTTATCACGCAACGTCAGTTTGGGCTACAAAGTCGTTTAAAAAGAAGTGTTGAAGCACATGAAAAAGGTCGAAAAATGGTGAAATTTTTAAAAAGAGCTTTAAATTCATAAAAGAGGTTTTTATAACACGTGCTACACTTTATTAATATTTATATATACTGTATAGTAGTTAAGGACAAAATTTATGCTTACTATGGTTTTATATTATATATAGAAATAAAAAAAATAAGTTACAGTATATAAAAATTTCAAATTTTGATTTTTAAGAAAAATTTACATAAATTTTTCCTAGTCGGGTGAAAAATTTTATAAAAAATTTTTATGACAATATTAGGTGTAACATGAATTTACATTTCTGACATTCATCGATAATGGGCCCGTATCGATAAAAAAAAAAAAAAAAAAGACGTTAAAAACACACTAAAAACAATTCGAATTTTATACGTTTTATAGTTTATTTACAAATTGTTAAATATGTAAAATCTTAATTAGTGATCATCGGACACCCCAATCTTTTATGCTCTAACAAAAAAAAAAAAAAATCATTACATCTTTGATTGGGTCACATTCACGTGCAAAGAAAATTTTATTGGAAATCTGGAAAAAAATGACACTATCGCTATATAAATCAATGTGTTGGTGTCATTTCTTGATAAAGACCCCAACTAATTTCGTATGAGCTCCGATTTATATTGAAACTATGTAAAACTTCTTATAACCTACGAATGGCTTATCGAAAGAGAGCGTTTAGATTTGGTCGGTGGTTTGGGCTCGTATGTAAGTAATTCTCTTTAATCTTTTAGTAATTGAGTCTTTAGGGATTATATCACCAATATTAATCTTCTCTTTAGTTGGGCGGACCACTTAGGAACTTTAACCTGGAGAATTGAACACCTCGTTACGTCGGGTATTCCCAGGTAACTGGACCTTAATCAACAACCACAAACAACCACGGTACGTTGGGCTAGTTGGAATTAAAGACCATGGTTAATCTTAGTACATCAAGATTAGCCGGACGAAATATAGGGTAAGTATCACGTGGACAAGACAACTGTATGTCAATTTAACGATAAGTCGGGATTAATTTCGAGAGTATAGTTTGTTTGGGACTTAATTATGAATGTACTTGAGATTTTATGATTATTTAATAAAGAACTCAGTTTTATAAAAGCAAACTTCCGAGTTATTTTTTTATTATAAGCGAGCACATTCTCATTATATACATCTTATATTACTATGTTTTACATAACTCTTTTTCTAATTATAATACTTAAACATATTTTAATTATTTAATGCCCTAAACATCCTAAAATACACCAAACACATTAATTCCTTTTACCTCCTTTCTCCCTTTTTCTTACTAAAACTCCCATATCTTTTTTACCACTAAAAAATCCCCGGAAAACCCATTAAAGCAAAAGATCTATGTACCCGTATGTAGATACTGCGGCACATTGACTTTCGACCCTCACGTGTCTCCGGAGTTACTTTCACGTCTCACAATATCAAGAAAGTATCACTTGATTGCTTCGTAAGTATAGTTGCAAACATTTAGAATGTTCAAGGTAGCTACCTCTTTACTTTACCCTTACGTCATATAAAATTCAGGTAGTGACGTCAATACGTCACTGCCTTTTGTTAGTTGGTTCTAATGTCTGCAACCTTATTCGTAAGCATTTTATAATAGATGGTTAGTTCAAATAGAAATTACATTTACCATGCATTTGATCATCAAAAATTTAAGCATTTAGATCTTGTGTGACAAATAAATTAAAATTTTGATATCGATATACAAATGGGGTTTCAGCATCTTGTTACTAAGTAAATTTTTTTCAGACTTTAAATTCAAATATCTCGACAACTATTAAATCAAATTTGATAAATTTTTTATTTTATCTTAATTCTATACAGTTATATAATTAAATAAAAAAAAAATTTATCAAGTTTGATTTAATAGTTGTCAAGATATTTGAATTTAAAGTTTTAAAAAAAAAACTTACTAAAAACAAGATGCTTGGTTTCTACTGACACCTCTCCAAATACCGATACGCATTAGTGTTAGTGCTTCTCTTTTTTAACTTTTCTATTAAAAACTAATTATCATTTAATGTAGAAAACTTGAATGAATTTAATAATGATTAGAATTTCTCTAAATTTAAACATAAAGAAAAATTGTAAGCATTAAAATTTATTACTATTTATCGGATTTTGCATTTACCTAATTTTATATTATAAGTATTATAAATTGGTATATTTTAAATTGTAACGGATTTAGATCAACGTGTGAATTCACGTGCGTAAAATTTAAAATTTAAAATGCCGAAAACGGTTGAAATGCAATTAATTATTAATTATCCGGCATGATGGTGACGAATATGGTATCAACGTACGTGGCTGAAGGCCACATGCTTTTGTTATTATCCTGTCAATAACTGTGTATTCGTCAAATCATGCCAGATAACAAGAAATTATTACTGCAATATTATTTTGTTAAAATAAGCCAATTTATTTACCCTAGCAGTAGTACCCTAGTCATGCGCATTAATGCTCATATTATAATTTTTCAAAATTTAAATTTGCATTTAAATTATTTAAATTTTAATAGGGGGTTTCAAAATTAATAAGTAAGTACAAGGCAAACTTGATAAGCCGAAGACCGTGGGTGAGACCTAAATATTCGGCTTATTAAATTTTTATATTATTAAATTTCACGTTAAACCGAGTTTTATATATAGTAATTAATAGATTGTAATTTGAAAAACTTTGGCTTATATGCATTTTCGGCTTAGGAAACTTCGGCTTATCGAGTTTGCCTTGTACTAGTTCGTTATAGATGAGCTTTTAGGAAAACAGGTTTATATAGCGAACTTATAAATAGCTGTGTAACAAACATTAAAAGAGTGAAAATAGCAAAAAAACACTTTCAATAAATAATTGACTAATACTAGAAATCATTAAAAAAACCAATTTATAATAATATTGTCGCGGTATCATATTATTATATATTTAATTAATAATACAAAATATTGATTATAACTCTAGAATATATTGTTTGTAAACTAGTTAGCGAAAAAGATTGTATAAGGTTAAGTCATCTAAAGTATTTATAACATATTTTGATATAATCTTTTTTGTAATGTTTTCCATCTAACCAAACATGAATTCGGAGTACGGCCATCAAGACCTTTAGCAATTCGAGCCCAAGAAGGACTAGGCATTTCTTCCAAAATACAATCGATCATATAGTTATCTTCTTCAGCCCTCCAAGATCTCTTTCTCATATATTGACCTTTACCCTTACTCTTCTTCATGGATGGCTTTTTTTCCATTTCTTCATAATCAGAATCATTTACCCTATAATCATCGTCATCATCTCGATCGTGACGAAGTTCATCTAATTCTTCATCATCGAATTTGATACTAGGTTTACGCCCACGGCCTCGTTTCGGTGAACTTTGACTAGATAAAATTGATGTCGATGTTTGTTTACGTTTAGAAACGGTTGAACCGGTTTTTCGAGGTGATGATCGGACCTTTTTGGTAGGTGGTTGTTCAATATTTTCATCAGACTTATTTTCATCGTCTTCTTCGTCATCAATATTTTGAGATTCTTTTGTGGATGGTTCGTTACGCTTTCTCTTTTCCATCTTTTCCATGAATGCAGCATGTAATTTTTCCTCATTCTTGAATTTATAAAAGGTATGTAAGAGAGTACTTATCAGTTATAGAGAAGTTTTTTTTTGTCTTATCATAATACAATAGTATAATATCAGGTATATAAAATACTTACAGTGTCACTAAGATCATCCTTAATTTGTAATTCTTGGGTCATTTCAGGTTCTTCTTTTAAAGTAGGATCTACTTTCGTGTCCTTTTCCTCATTTAACGTGGAATCTTTTGTTTCAGCATCAGAAGCCATTTGATACTATTCAAAAAAAAAATAAAAAAAATTACAACTTATTTTATAGAAAGACTAAATAATTTACTTATTTTTTTTTATTTTTATTTTTTTGAATACGTACATAAATTTATAGATAAATGTAACGAAAGTGTAAATAGAATGTAAATAAATTTTATAAAGTTTGGATCATAAAACTTTAATATATAATTTTCATGAAAGTGAAAACGAAATCCATCGACAGAAAAATTCTTCAAAAAAGTAATACTTTTTAAACATAATATACATTTTTATGAACAAAAGCATTAATCACTTTTGTGTTGTTATCATTTTATTTTTTTTTTATGTATTAAAAATAATTTTAAAAACTTTCGCGTCCCTTAACATACTTGATTGGTATAAATGATCTGTTGAATGATAGAAAGACTAATATATGTTCATTGTTAGTCAATTGAAAGTAAAAATAGCTATCAAACAATATCGATATTTAAAAGACAGTGTCAAAAAAAAAACTAAAATAAAATAAAATAAAATAAAATAAATAAAACGAAATATACGTGACGTTAATATTTAGTTTAAAGTCTATAAAATTAATGATAAGTCATTCAATGAATAAATGAATGACATCTCCTTTTATTATAATTCACGAGATATTTTAAAGCATAACTCGCATAGAAAAAATGTACAATATTGCTATTATAATTACAAAAACATGCATTCCTTTTAAAATGTTCTAATTATTAGATCCCCTAATTAGGATAGTTCATTTCTCTAAAATCATTTCTAGGTAAGTTTCTGGTACACCCATCGCAACTCTACTACAAAATGCAAGTCCTTCGTCAAATGATCTAAACATAACCATAAAAACTGCACCAGTACTTGCACATAATACTACACAAAAAAACATTATATCCCCTAATAATACAAGTATTGGTATTAGAATGGATCCAGTCACCGTAGTGATAAATGATGTAAAGTTATAACGTGCATTAAATCCAATATTACTTTTCCAAAGTGCATATTCAAATTTACAAACCATTGGAAAGTATAATAAGAGAAAAGTAATAATTGTTGTTGGAATGGTAAAAAGAAAATATATTGGATAAATTAACATCGGAAAAAGAATGAAACTATTCCAACTTAAATCTGTAGGTGGACCAGTATAACTCATTATATTATTAACTTGTCGAGGAACAAGAGTATTACAATGATCCCATGTTGACGATGAAAGGTCTAAAGCTGACCTAACAGGTCGAAAGACAGGTGATTCTCCCAGATTTGTCCATTGATCCTCAGCTTGATTCATTCTTCTTAAAATATTTCGACCTCTATAACGTTGATAAGTATAATAAGCCATCGATGCAGACGGTGAAAACTTATAATATGGTTCGTTTGGTCTATTAAGGTGCTCTTTGACTGGGATAATAAGGGTAATCCAAATTGTGTAGCAAAATGAAATAAAAATTCCCGAGGGAAAGTATAATAATATTGGGATAGGTGAAAGTATGAAAAATATTAATTTAAGATTTGGACCAACGTATCTATTTGCAAAAATTATGTAATAAAAATTTTTGATATTATTGAAAAAGAATATTATCAGAACGAAAATGTTTAGCAAGGTGCATGCAAAAAAAACAGGTAAGAAATATATTATAAAATCAATGAGAATCAAAAATATGCTGAATGAAATACGGTAGATATTATGACTTTTAATCATTTTTTTTTTTTTTTTTTTCTACTTTCTTTTCTCCATAAATAATTATTATTTATAATACCGAGTATTTATTTATGCACATGTTCCGAAACGTCAAACGTTATGAACCACTACGCGACAGACTTTAATTATGTACGTACGTATGTACCACACCATCAAATGCGTCACATGGCATAAACCGTAACACGTATTTTTGGTTCATGCAAATAATTCAGGAAACAAATTTTTATCGATCTACGACAGGAATGAAAGTCAAACATATACTATCGTTATACTCTATTTACTGAACTTCCAAAAAAGAATTAAGTGAAACGTCATAGATTGATGATCAATTTTTTGGCGCTTAAATACTATCTAGTTGATGACTACCCCACATTTGTTTCTGCATCTAATCAATACGTAAATTTTACTAATCGTAGATGCTCATCTATTCAAAAAGTCAACTGTTACTAAATAGTTAATCATGCACTTTTGATATATATCTATTCTCAATGATTTAACGACCGTCAGTTCATATTGTATGAAACATAATGTACCTATAACGATAAAGACCTAACTATAACGATAAGATCATATAAATGAATTAACATCGATCAATTTTTATTTTTTTTTTATAATGCAATCTGCAAAGGGTTACGATATTTTTTTAGGCCTGCATATATCATGAAAACATCAATGATTTAATCCATGTACGCACGCACTTTTGTTGTTGAAACAATAAACCTACAAGCAAATATTTATGTGTTGTACAATGTCGAGCATGGACTTTAGTGGTTCATGAAAAGTAATAAATAATTTCTAATATTTAGGGCAGAGTTGGTCAATCAGTCCCAAGTCCTGATGATACCCGTAATTATCTAAATTCAGATTAGTTTTATTATTAACATTCCGACGATTTTCCGTGTGTTTTTTTATCCCGCGTTTACGTAATCACTATTGCAAAATTATCACGCTAAATTGTCACATGCTTATTTTGTCATACGATTCATAATAAGTAAAAGTCACGCAAGTACTGATTAGGTTAGGATAACGTTCACTTGTGGCCTGATTTAAAGTAGAAATATACTTCGTGTATATGCATTTGATTTTTTTTTTTTTGGTTACTTTATTAAAACTGCGTATTACGGTAAACTCAAGTAAATTTTGTTTAATGTTGATACGATAGGATTATGTAGTCTAATGCTTTAAAATGTTTATTGGTTTATTAAAAATAATCTATATTTGTAGAAGAATGTTCACTTAAAGTGGATTCACTATATTTCAAGCCTTTTTACTCTTATAATTTTCAGTCGGTTATAACTGATACCGAATCTTAAATAGATTTGGCATAAATATTATATAATTATCAGGTAGTTACGATTGATAATGTTACATATTTTTACACTATATCATGGTAGATTGATGATTACTACATCACAATGTTTTGATATAATAGGCGATGATTTTAAATTAAATTTAAATTAACTCGAAGATTATTTAATTAAAGCATGTTCAATAACTACTCCCAAATAATATCATAGTTTGTGGATTCAACCATTGATTGTCTCAGATTGTTCCGCTATCGCGTCATTATCTGAACCAATCAATGAATTTTGAATGCTACTAACTCAACATCACCACAAACTACCTGATAACTATTAAGTATTTGGGCAAGAATTTGACTAGTTTATGTCTGGTTTTTGCGGGGCCCAGTCATCCCCCGGTCAAATTCTAAGATAGTTATTGGTGCATAACATCTAATAACGGTATTATCTAGTATTTGGACCAAGGATCAAAAGTTTAGACAAAAGATTAAAAGACAATAAGAAAAATTAATAATATCAACTAGAAAGTGCACCGTGCACTTTGTGCACCTTCTATAGTAACTCAAAATTTTACTAGGGTAACCTCTGTTGTGTAACTAAACAAAAATATTCTTATCATAATTTTACTATACCCTAACCCTAACCCTAACCCTAATTCTACTAGTAGCTTAACCCTAAGCCTATTTTTAAACTTTTTATAATAACTCAAAATTTTTTAGGGTAACCCTGTTGTGTAACTAAGAAAAAATATCTCTCTTGCAATTTTACTATATGGAAAGCCTAATTCTAACCTTAATTCTAACTTAAACTAACCTAATTTTTATTTTATACTTAATTTTACTATAAAGTACACAAAATGCATGAGTGTACTGTTTAGATTTTTTCATATTAAAATTCTTAAAATATTTTAAAATTATAAAATAAGTTTATTAGTGAAATATTAAAAAATCCTAATAAAAACTATTAATAAAATATAAAAATTTTTATTTTTAAATAACAAAAATATTTATTAACCTTAGTATAGTTAGTAGATTATCAAATTGCTATATAATAAGTTTAAGTTCAAATTTTATCATTGATAAATTTAAATAATTATTCAAATCTTATGATTAGTTTATAATAATCTTATTTGATTTTGGAGTTGTAATCTTGTAAATTAAGTTGTATTTAATTTTTATTATTTTTTTTATATAATATCATAGTAGAAACTTTATTTAAAAAGAAAAATATATATTCAAAATTTTTTTTTTTTTTTTTTTTTTTTTTTTTTTAAATTTCAACCTTTGCAAGTTGAGGTGAGAAATAGTGAAGAATATTTGTAGTAGATCACAGGTTATTTTGTAATTGTTGAATACAGATTTTAGTTGTTGTTTCTAAAATATTTGAGTCATTAAGGTGAAGTAAAAATTTTGAGATATAGTGTTGAAGTTGTATATTCTATATGTTTTTAATTCTATAGATATTATAATTGAGCATAATACTATTTGGAATACTTCGTAAGAGGTTAGATTTGTGTTTAGCTGTAATTAAATATATAGAGAGAATTTGTTTACAAGTTGTTTTTAATAAAACAACATTATGAATTTAGTATTCAAGGTTAAAATAATAACTGTATTTATGATATAAGCTACTTGTTTATCAGTTATTTGTTTGGTTTTAAAGATGTTGATAAGGTTTTGTGATTCCTGAGTAATAAGTTTGACTTGTTAGGTTTGTTGGTAACTAGGTAGAAACTAGCATTTTAAAAATTTAAAAGGTATATTTTTAGGTTGTAGAGAAATTATCCGTTGAATAAAGTTAATGGGTAGTAAGTTTTTTGAGTTTGTACTAAAAATAGACTTAAGTGAGTTAATTTTCAAATTAGCTATTTCAAAAAAGAATAAAGCTAGTTCAAGAATTTGCTCAAGTTCATTTTTTGAAGAAGCAATCTATAATGTATCATCCATGAATATTAGAACAGATATTGATACTTGAAGTTGATTTGTTTTTTTTGTTTTAAGGTCTGTAGTCCAAGAAACTTTCAGATTATAACTGTTATATATTTTGGTGATTTGAGTAATTAAAGGATCATAATATATATGCTATAGGAGAAGTATAATTGTTTTTACTTGGTTAATTCTATTTTTAACTATATAGAATTGAGTGAGTTCAAAGTTAGTAATAATTTTGTTAGAACAGTCTGAGAGTAGATCGAGTATAATTTGAGTAAGTTGATATGGAAGTTGAATTCTTTCTAGTACTTTTTGAAGTAGATATAAATTAACTGAGTTGTATACCTTGCTTATATTCTGTAATAGTAGCTAAAGCTTTTTGTTATTGCAATATGAGTTCTTAATTATATTATTAAGAATATGAATTGAGGTAGAAGGGTAGAAGTACTATTTCCTGAAAGAGCAATATAGTTAAGTGGTGATAGGATTTGTTTAGATATTAGAGCAGTACTAAGACAGTTTGTAAAGATTTTTGTATAGAGTTTTTTAATATGTTTAATTAAGCTAATTGGCCTAGTATTATATAAGTTGCCATCTAATACTGGCTTCTTTAAGATTGGAAAGATATAGTATGTTTTCTATTGTTTTGGTATTGTTTGATATACTAGACATTTGTTAAGTAAAATTGTGATTGTTTGTAAAAATAGATTACTAGTATGTTTAAGTATTTCATAACTAATGCCTGATGGACTATATACTTTGTTATTAGGGAGGTTTTAAAGAGTTTGAATAATTTTTTCAGTTGTAATAGTATTGAGAATATTATCATAGTGAGATGTATTGATTGAATTAATAGATTCATAGCAATTTTTCCAAGTTGTGCTAAAAATTTGTTGATTAATAGGTTTAAAATCAGTCTATTGATTGAAGTAGTTTCTGATTTGTTCCTTGATAAGTGTAGGATTAGTTATTAATTCTGTATCTGTTTTAAAATATTGAAAAGAAACATGATCAGTATGCCTATTAAGAATACTATTAATCATTTTAGTTGGTTATGTTTGAAGAGCAGAGTATCATTTTTCTGTTGCTATATTAATTTGTTATCAAATATATGATAAATTTTCTATTTCTCAAGCTTTGTATAAAGTTTTTCAGTATACTTGTAGATCATTAAGCCAAGTTAGAATTTCATCATTATTAATAGAAAAGTTGTAATATTTAGATTTTATTGTTGATTGATCATATTGATCAGAGAAGGTATATTTTTTTTTTCCCTATAAGAGGTTCTTGCTTTTCATTTTATTATTATTTAATACTGATTACAATATAAATATACTAGCTAAACTATACATGTAAATATGAAAGCTAAACTAAATATGCCAGAGACTTTACTCTTATATTATAATGTGAGTAACTATCACTAATATAAATGAGCTCAACTAAATATATATAGTGAATGATTATTGCAATTCCAGACTTACTCAAATACCCATATAGCCCTAAGTATGGTCAACTTGTCAGCAAGTTTACTCC